GTTGTTTTTTTTTTGGGGGGGGGGTTGTTGTTGTTGTTTTTTGGGGGGGTGTTTGTTTGTTTTTGTTGTTGTTTTTTGTAAATGCGTTATAGATGCATATGACAGTAGAGATGTAATTTATTTCTATGCTCTAATAAAGAAAGATACAGTACAAGCTATTTAGATTAAATCGAAATTGTTGGGACATTAATTTAATGATCACTGAGCTGATGTTTGTAAATACTGGAATGCCGTTAAATCGCGAGCTGAGTACTGCCTTGTCCTAACTCAAATTTCCGACTTCAAGGGTATTTCTCCTTTAAAAAATCTTCTCTTTGAGCCCACTACTAGCTACTGTAACTTTGCGATTTTATAACGATGTGCACCTCCTCAATGCAATTCCAGTCATTGTTTTAATATAAAATACATTGATAATATGAACGTGGAACAGAAGTATCAGAATGTGAACTGGGGATTTTTTCATAGTAGCATCCAATAAAAATGTTGTAGGTTTGTATGAAAATTATGATGGCCTATTGTGTCTTGACAATTGATCTTTAAAGCAGTAAGCACGATACAGCTTTGCCTGAGCGGTAGATATAGAGGAAGTAGACTGCCCAAGTACAGCTTCCCTCCCTTCTGAACTTGACTTCCTTGATATGCTCGAAAGGAGAGACATCGTGAGCAGTTCGTTTGTTTTTGTTTCAGTTAGTGTTTTACGGTGCTCGCAACTGCATAAGGTCATAATTCTGCACATGGACGCATCATTTTTTATAATTCATTATTGTTACCCTGTACTTTTGGTGACTTGTGGAATTTCTGACTGTGTGGGTTTTGTCAACTACATTTGAATAATGCAGGGTAGATATTTTGCATTAACGTTGGGGATTGGTGGGGGTTTTCTGTTTTGTTATGTTTTGTTTGTTCGGTTTTTCAACTTTTTATATTTTTGGGGGGAAGGGGGGGGGGGCGGAGAGAGTTATGTTTCTGGTGTTTATGATAATATGGGCACAATCCCTTTCTCGTAAGATATCCAGCAATGTTTATAACGTATTCAGTACTTATCATTGTCTTTTTTCTGTTCTGGCAACTCTACATTCTACAGTTTCATTATGTGTATATTTCTATTA